CATTCGTGGGCCGTCTTCCTGGCTCATTCGTGCCTCACCGACTCGATCAAGGAGGTGAAAGGGTACGACCTGGGGGAGCTGGCCTATGGGAGGCCGACCCCATCCTTCGAGACGCGTCAGCTGATTCTGATGCTGTACATCGACGACTACATCGGCTTCAGGCTCCTCGACCCGCGCGAGGACGACATCGAGGTGGACAAGGAGGTGGTGAAGAAGGCGTTGGTGGACAAGGGGCCCGAGGTGCACAAGGATGAGTGGGGCCCTGGACTGCAGCGAGGGCTCGGGATCACGGTGAGGGGGCGGCCGTACCAGGTGACGATTCATCCCGACAAGCTGAGAGAACTGGTACTGGCAACGGAGGCGCTGGCGGTCAAGCCCTACGTCTCTCCTGCGAGGCTCTCGCCTCTGCTGGGTATGTGGACCTGGGCCCTTATGATTTGCCGCTCGGGGTTTGCCATTCTGGACGCGATCTACAGGTGGAACAACGAGCGCGGCGACTCTAGGGGGGAGGTGCTGCCCCTCACGACGGATGTGGTCTCGGAGCTGGTGGCGTTGGCCAGCCCCTCGGTGTGCTTTACGTCGGACTTGGAGGCGGACTGGGCCACGAGGGCTTACATGACGGACGCCTCGGAGTTCGGGTACGGAGCGGCCGTGACCGAGGTCGCCGCGACGGAGTGCAGGATGGAGGTGGCGAAGGGCGACCTGCAGACCTGGACCGTCAGGGCCGACGAGGCCTTCACATCGGTGGAGGAGGAGGTCGCGCGCGAGGGCGAGGAGGGCGACGAGATGGTGGGGCCACCAGCGGGACGGCCTGGGTTCCTGGAGCTGGCGAGCGGGGTCGAGAGGATCGGCGACGACGCGGTGAGTCGCACCAAGTCCTGGCGCGAGGCGTCGGATCTGTTGAGGGGCCCCTCCTACGAGCTGACGGAACCGAGGGAGCTGGAGCTTCTGTTTGGGCGAGTGCGTCGACGGTGGTGGTGGTGTACACATCTGGCTCCCTCCAGGTCGCCCTTGGAGCAATTGATCGCCTTCGAGGTCGCCAAGCTCTTCCACAGGGAGGGCCTGATCTTCACGGCGGTGATGACGGCGGAGGCGGAGGTCGAGGCGCCCTGGGAGGATCTCACCAGGCTCGAGGAGGTCTTCACCTTTCGGACAGACCGGGTTCCTGACGATGGTTACAAACGACGGGCGCTTCGGGGCCCTGCAGTGCGAGCAAGATCGCAAATCAGAGCATGCGGAGGCGACGGGGTTCAGGTACGGCTCGAAGTGGAGGACTACCTACTGCGAGCATGTGCGGAAGATCGAGCCGTGCTGGGACATGGTCGTGGCGGGGGCCCAGGCGAGGCTGGAGGGTGGCATCCTCAGGGTGGTCAAGAGGCGTGGACAGGCTCTACCTGCCTCGAGGGTCTGGACGAGGGTGGATCGCTGGTCCTTACTCTTCAAAGGATTGTGGCAGCGAGAGGAGCACAACAATATCCTGGAGTTACGTGCGATTGTGTCCCTCTTGCGACACATGTCTCGCGCGCGGAATATGTGGGGCAAGCGCGTGCTGGTGTTCTCGGACCCCCTGGTTGCGATGGGCGTGCTTGCCAAGGGGCGCTCGTCGGCGACGGGCCTGCTGCACTTGGCTCGCCAGGCTTCTGCTGTGGTCCTCGTTTTCGGTATCAAGCTGTACTTGAGGTGGGTGGCGTCGGAGGACAATGTGGCAGATGGTCCGAGCAGAGCTTTGGACATCGGCGCGGCCGAGGCGACGAAGGAGGAGCACAAGTGGAGACACACGCCGAAGGCCGTCCGCTCCATGCTTGCAATACCTTACCCTACTGCGAGTACGACGGGACCTACCACGTCGACATGGTGAGTGGTCACCGCGCCGACGAGTTAGTGGAGTACGAGGCCGTCGACTACGAGGAGCTCTACTTGAACCTGGAGAGGCTGGCGGCGAATCGGGGCGTGCGATCCAGGCCGCCCTGGAGTTGGCTGCTGGTCATCTTGGGCTGCCTACACGGAGCAGGTGCAGTTAGAGTTGCCACGAGGCCGCCACCGCTGCAGACTAAAGGAGCTCGAGCATGGGATAACGCAGCCTGGATGCCTCTGGCTTATAACAGTAGATTGGCAATACACGCGGTCGATGACAAGACGAATGTCGCATACGAAAAGGCAGTTCGGGAGTTTCTGATCGATGCTAAGAGGCTGAACTTACCGTTCCATTCGGTCTATCTTCGGGATAAAGCCTTGGCCTCTTTCCTTTCGGACATGTGCTACGTGCGTGGCCTCGGCTATAGTCGGGGAAGCATGCTGTTCAACGGGTTCATGCACATCTTCGAGGACCACAGGAACTTCCTTCCCTTGCCGCCTCGCGCTCTGAAAGCGTGGGAACGCCAGCAGCAGGGCCAGGAGGGCGAGCCCATTCCGTTGCAGGCGCTTGCTCTTATCATCCTGGACCTGTGCCGCGCCGGGCGTGTCCATGAGGCGCGCGCGGTCGTGGTGCAGCTCGACGGTTGGCTACGTGAGCAGGACTGGGCTCAACTACGGAAAGGCAGCATTTCGGTGGATGCACAAGGGCGCATGACATTATTGCTAGGAGATCGAGCGAGAGGGGAGAAGGTCAAGACGGGCTCGGGGCAGGGAGTGGAGGCACTGATGGAGCTAACGAAGTGCGCGCTGCTCACCCTGGCCGAGGACCTTGCAGATGATGAGCTCGTCTTCCCGATCACCCCCGGCAAGTGCCGCAGGAGATGGCAGTCTTCTCTTCAGAGGTTGGGCCTTCAGGCCCTTGGCCCACCTCGCGGCATTCGACACGCTGGCGCTGCTCAGTATGTGGCGAACGGGGGAGACTTGGAGATTGCAAGGGGGAGGGGGCGCTGGACTACTTCGAGCGCCTTGCAGCGCTACACGGAGACGCACGTGCTGATGCAGCGGCGCTCCCTCCTCCAGAAGGATCAGATCGTGAAGGGCGAACGGTTCTGGCAGGCCCCAGGCTTGGCGATGGCCAATGCGCCGGGGAAGTCCAGGGCGGCGCGTAGGCCGCTCACCGTTCGCTTGATTGCGGCTCTCTCGCAACTTTCGAATGACAGCCTCGACCTCGGCTGTGCGTCGTTGCAGGCGCGGCCCGAGGTGGGGCGCCCGAGAACAGGGGACAAGGCCCTGTTTCGACGCCGTGGCGCCGCCTAGCCTCACCTCCTCTCTTCACATGTCTGTAAGAGATTGGATTTCGAAGTGCGTTTCTTTGAGTTTACAATTAATCTGGGGATCTGTGCCAAAGCTGGGGGGGTAATTTTTGAATATAATACTTGTATTATTCTCTCCCCGCCCTCCCTCCCTCTGCCTGCGGTGCTGATTTCAAAATCCTGAATGCAGGGCCTTCGGCCAGAAGGGGCATTTTGGCCTTTGCGGGGTTCGCGCTCTCATTTTGTTGTGCTTGATCGGCCCCTGTGGGCCCATGAAGGTCAGGTACCTGCGGGCCCTCCGCGTGGAGGGCTGGTTTCAGCATGATGTCGACGAGTGCTCTGAACTTTACTTGGGGCGTAGACCCCTCGCTGTCGCCCGTGCTTGTAATGTGGTCGCTCTCATCTGCTGTTGCTGTGTCGGATATTCATGCCCTGTGTGTCCTGGACTTTTTATTCGTCGGGCCTCTCGGCCGCTGCCGTCTGCCCCCAAGCTCTGGCACTTAGGGCCCCCTGCACAGCTTATTTAAATACATGTTTTACTAAACGCACTTTTGCATTGCTAGTGCTCCCCCTCTTGTGCCGCCCCTCTCCCTCTTGTCCTCGTCCTCGGCCTCGCCCTCCTCGGCTTCGCCGCCGCTCAAGTTTCGGCCCCGACCCCCCCTCCCTGTGAGGGGGGGTTCGCACTCTCATTTTGTTGTGATTGATCGGCCCCTGTGGGCCCATGAAGGTCAGGTACCTGCGGGCCCCCCGCGTGGAGGGCTGGTTTCAGCATGATGTCGACGAGCGCTCTGAACTTTACTTGGGGCGTAGACCCCTCGCTTCCGCTCGTGCTTGTAATGTGGTCGCTCTCATCTGCTGTTGCTGTGTCGGATATTCATGCTCTGTGCGTCCTGGACTTTTTATTCGCCAGGCCTATCGGCCGCTGCCGTCTGCCCCCAAGCTCTGGCACTTAGGGTCCCCTGCGCAGCTTATTTAAATGTCCAATCGGGCCGCGCTAAAACACTGGCGGAATTGTGAGACCTCGGTGGAGCTGGGCATTCGTCGACTCAACTGGTATAAGTCTTGGGCCTCTCACTCTGCTAGCCACGCCCAGCTGTTTGCGGCCCTCTTTGGGGAAGTGCGTTTCGAATCGGGGGAGGCGCCTTTGGTCGACGGATACCTGACTCCCAAGGCCTCCCCCATGGGCCCGCAGGGTTTCTGAGGACTTCCGCTGGGCACAGGGGCTTATACCAGATTCTGAGGATGTACTGGGAGCTCTCGCAGATCGTCCTGGCTTCACGTGGGGCCCTGAGGTGCGCCACGAGTTTTTGAACATCGATGTCACTGCGATATGGAGCTGTTTCTTTGGAGTGACTATTGCCCCCCCCCCCCCCCCCCCTGGTCTGACTGTTGGAATGGATAATGGGGGCGGTCGCGATCATGGGACCCACCAAGATCCTCTCGAACTTGAAACACGTTGTCCCTACCGGTGCCAGTTCGAAGGATGTGCGGAGGAGTTGGCCACGCGTACAGGTTTGATGGCACATATGAGATCTCGCCACTCTCTTCGCCCCCTGTGCCACGTGCTCACCCCCAGTAACACGTGTATTTGCTGCAGGGAGATGTTCTGGGACAGGGCTTGTTCTGCTCGGCATGTTGTGCTTGCCGCGCTACAGGGACATTGTCGATTCGGTGGGGGCAGAACGTTTCGCCCTCTCGAGCCTCCATCGTCATTGTCGTGTCCTCAGTGCGATGTTGAAGCTTCAGACTTAGATGCGCTATGCCAACGTCTACGCAGCCACTTGCCTGGCCAGGTGCTCCCGCGGCCTCGCCAGATCCGTGGGCACTTTGTAGCTCATGACGGACTTCACGCCGCCCGCGTGGATGCAGGCCCTGTCGGAGACGAAGAGGGGCGCGGACGAGGGCCCTGGCTCGGGGGAAAAGCCTTCGAAGCACGCGAAGGGCGGGGCGAAAGGCGACAAGAACGAGAAGGACCTTACCAAGGTGCTCATGCTTCTCCTCACCAAGCTGTGCCTCACCTCGGCGCGAGAGCTCGCCAACCTAGCAGGTGCGGTCTACCAGACGTGGGAGCTTCTCGAAGCCAGCGACGGGGTCACTCAGCTCATGATCGATTCAGGTCTCAAGTGCGACGATATGTCCAAGCAGATGAAAGAACGGCAACGGGCAGGCGAAAAGGTAGACTTTCGCACTCGTGGATCTCCTCACGTGCAGCTGCGGGCCTCGGTTTGCCCCAACTTGGTCACCAGCGCGAAGACGTTCATCCAGGGCAGAGAGGAGTATATCGAGTCGGAGGCCAAGAAATTCAACGGGTACTTCGCGAAGTACATCCAGAGCGCCGCGCCCCGCAGACCGTGGGCAAGCACGCGCTCCACTTTCGTGATCGGAAGTACAAGGGGCGGAAGAACGAGACGAGTGGCTCCGCGAGCCAGCAGCAGGCGAAGAAAGGTCGCTTGACTTTCGCCTTCATTTGCGACGAGCCTGGCATGCTGGCCAGGGAGTTGATCACCTGGTTTCTCAAGCACGAGGAGGACCAGGAGAGAGCGGAGCAGTTGGTCGGCCCAGCCCCGAAGGGACCGCTCGAGCGAGAAGCCGCAAGGATCCTGAATCTGATCGAGGTGAAATGAATGAGGCCCTGGGCTCAGGTAGACCAGTGAGGCCTATGAGGCCTGTGAGGGAGGATGATAGGAGTAGGAACCGAGAAAGGGTGAAGGGGGATGCGAGGAGATTTTCACAGCCCAATCGGGGCGCTTTTTCAGGCAGTGCACGCCTGGCGAGTTTAGTGGCCAGGGGAGTGATCCCAGATCCTTTCCAGGCCCCCACTTTCGCCACGTATCAGCAGGCCAGCGGTAGCTTTCCCGTGATTCCCCTCGCGGTAGCTCCCAACCGGGCCCCACGCAGGGGAAAAGGCAGTAGCAAAGGCCGAGGATCCAGTCAGGCGTCGGTCCCTTAGGTGGTTCCTCCTCGTACGCCTGCGTGTTCGCCACCGCTCGGGGGCAGTGCTGGTCCTGCCAGTGTGGGCTGCCCTGTCTTCTTTCAAGTGATAACCCGCACCCCATTAACTCGGGTTGCGCAGAGTTCTTAGCCAGGTTTCACGGTGTGAGGCGAGCAACTCATTTGAACTCCCCGCGCATTGCTCATTGCTCATTGCTTCTCCTTTCCGTTTCCTCGTCTCTGTAGCAACGCAAAACCAAGAATACACAGTGTTTGGCGCCGTCGATGCAAAGAAACCCTGTGTATTGCTGGTTGCTGTTGATTCTTTTCGGCCTAAGAAGCAAGGACACCATGTGTTGTGTTGATTTTGTTTGGTAGGTTTTGCGAACCAGAATGCTCGCGCTGGCCTCCTGCTCAGCACCCTTCCATGCGCCGCAGACCAAGAAGCCCAAACATGCACAACGTTTCGCGCCTTCGATGCAAGGACGCCCATTTAATAGGTCTGAGAAGCAATCAAGCCATGCGTATGTTTACAAAACGAAAATGTTTTTTCCCGGATTTGCAAGCCCGAATGCTCGCGCTGGCCTCCCTCTCAGCACCCTTCCATGCGCTTCGGGCAACAAAACAACAAACAATACACAGTGCTTCGCGCCTTGGACGCAAGGAAACTATGTTTGTGGTTGACATTTAGAGTTTTTTTTTTGGGGGGGGGGTCTGAGAAGCAGGGAAGCCCTGCGTCGTTGTTTTGGGGGGTGCAAGCCCCACGGGTGCTGGGAGGGAGGCCCGTGCGAACGCGGGGGCGTGCGAAACCCAAATAAAAAACACAAGGCTTCCTTGCTTCTCAGACAAAAAAAAAAAAAAACACCAACAACAAACACACAAGGTCTCCTTGCACCGAGGGCGCCACACCCTGCTCATACCTCTCCCTGCTTCTCCGTTCAGTATATTCCTCCTTCTCCGTTCCATTTCTTTCTCCTTCCCCTTTCCCCCTTCTCCAAACGCAATTCCTCTTCCTCCTCGCCCATCATCCTTCTCCTCCTTCTCCTTTCCGTTTCCTCGTCTCTGTAGCAACGCAAAACCAAGAATACAGTGGTTGGCGCCCTCGAAGCAAGGAACCGCTGTGTATTTTCGGTTGGTTCTGGACGTTGTGGTTTAGGATACAAGGAAACATGGTGGTTTTGTGTTGTTGCTTTTGTTTTAGATTTGGATTTGGAAGCTCAAGTGCTCCCCGCGGCCTCCCCATCCCCATCACCTCATCCTTCTCCCCCTTCCTCCTTCCCCATCATTATCCTCCTTTCCTTTTCCTCCTCACCGTTGCAAAACAAGAAAACCGAGAATACTCAGTGTTTGGTGCCCTGGGTGCAAGGAAACGCTGTGTATGTTTGGTTGTCCTTGTTGTTTTGGTCTAGGCTGCAAGGAGACACTGTGTAGTTGGGGTTTTTCTTTTTGTAGACTCGGAAGCTCGAGTGCTCCCCGCGGCCTCCCCCCCCCAGCGCCTCCTCCTTCTCCCCCTTCCTCGTTCCCCTTCTTCTCCATCGCGATGTGGCTGAGGCATGAAAGCAAACCGAAGATTATGAACAACAGTGGCCCGAGCTAAGAATTCGAATCGCCATATGAAAAATCGATGGTAAGAGAGGGATGCGGACGAACAGTGGGAAGCAGATGAGGGGGAGGATGGAAGAAGAGAAGGTACATATGAATAAGAGGATGATGAACGTGACTCCGATTCCAGACAAAATGTATGATTGTGGGGGCAATCGTGTATATATTTACAAACAAATATACAAACATGCATACATACACACATACACAACAACAAAGTGGGACACACGCTAAACTCATAACACAAACACATAACACAAAACAACAATTCATACATACACAACTAACTGCAACAATTAATACGTGAGGAGATAACTCAATACATAGCATATAAGGGATTCATCGAATACATGAACAGACAACACATACATCACATCATACATGAGTCCAACTTGCATGATCACATACAACGTACACAAATACATATACTGGCGAGATCTTTTCTTCGGATGCTTGCCTTGAGCCATACCAGCAATGGCATGATCTCTCACAGTAAATCTCCTGGGGGTCTCTGGATTCCTGCAGCCCCCTTCGTGCCGCCCAGCTCTTCGGCCAGGCACGATGCTCGAATCCTGAAAAGCTCCGAAACTCATTGTCAGTGCACAGCGCTCTGGACCACGGCGTTGGTCGAGCACTGCAATCAAAGTGCGCGCAATAGCCGCGCTGACGGCCGTAGCCCGTCCAAGGCAATGACAGCGCGGAGCGAAAGAATGCAGGCCGAAATGGCCAGGCCAAAATGGCCGCTTGTGCCCCTGGTTCAGACCTTCGCCTGAAGGGCACTCGAGAGAGGCGCGTCCGAGAGCTCGACATTCATCATCTTCAACCCTCGGAGCATCGCCGCCTGGTCGAGGAACTTCGCCCCCAGGTCCGCCGGGTTCGACTTCCCGGGAACCTTGGCCAGTTGAAACCGTCCGTCCTTGAGTGCCTTCTGCACCCACAGCGTCGGCGTCTCGAGGTGTCGGACTTTGCCGCAGCCTCGTCGTTGCATGATGCCAAGAGCAGCTGCCGAGTCGCTCCAGATGCGAAGGCTCGCGTCCCTGCCTAGGCCCTGGCACAGCGACTGCATGCCGATGGCCCTGCTGGCCGCTCGCACGCAGCCGTAGAACTCAGCCTCCCCCGAACTCACGGAGATGGGGATCTGAGTCGTCGATGCCGTCACGATCAAGTGCTGCCCATGTTTGATCACGACTGAACTGGTGCTCCTCCGCGTGATCGGGCAGCCTGCCCAATCGGTGTCCGAGTAGATGTCCATCACTGTGGGTGCCCGCTGTCGGCCCCACTTCTAGATGGCCCGCGGCGCTCCGATCAAGAAGCGTCCAGCGCGCTTCAGGAGGCGGAGGTGCCGCTCTGTCGGCTTCTGCATGCCGCGAGCGCACTCCATGGCCGTGAACTGCACCTCTGGCCGGTCGAGCGCCAAGTAGCCCAGCCTCACGCACGCGCTGCGGTACTCTGCCGCCTCGTGCTCGTTCAGCTCGCGCTCGACCTCAGGTGTAAGCTTCTGGCTCAGTCCTGGCGTGCTCAATGACTTCGTGGTGTGGGGGGTCCATTCCAAGCTGTGCGTGCAAGATCTGCGCGCGCCTGGGATCCGCCTCGTACTCGATGGCCTCGCCCCCTTGGCACCATCGGTCTCGCCAGCGCACTACCCTGTTGAGGCACGTGATCTCCTTTGCGTCGGTAGGCGCCGGCCCGAGCACGCCCCTGTCCTTCACGATGAACTTCATCTTCAGGGCCTCGCAGATCGACTGCGTCCCGCCCCGAGAGCCCTCGAGCACGAAGTCGTCGCCGTGGTGGAAGAAGCTCACCTGAAGGTCCTTGTGGCAATACACGCAAGGCGAGAAGGCCGACTGGTCACAGCCAGCACCGATGACCGTCTCGGCAGTCGTGAGCTCGAAGTTCTGGCCAGCGTCGCGCGCCCCGTAGAGCGCCATCCGCAGGAGCCCACACGTACCGATCTCCTGCGACATCGGATCCTCCTCTGGAAGCTTGATGTAGACCGTCCTCTTGATCTCACAGTGCGGGTGTGCCCGCGAGATGTCCAAGAAGCGCGGCGCGCGGCCCTCGGACGGGTCGCTCGACATCGCCATGCTGCAGATGAGCCGAAGGCACTCTAGCGGCGGGGTCGCCGCAAACACCGCGCCGATGTCGTCCCCGGCGATGGCGCTCTGCGCCTTGGTCTCCTGTGCGACGAGCCTGGATCTGTAGTCCGGCCGGTCGGTGTCGCCCTTGTCGATATCGACCCAGCGCACACTGAGGGGCCCCCGTCCAAGCTCGCGCTGACAGTCCTCCTCCCTCGCGTAGACTCACACGCCAAGCAAAGCCATGAAATCCATCTCCAGGCGCCTCGCGGCCTTCGCCCGCGTGGGGCCCAGCGGGAGGCCGGTGAGGTCGTCGTAGAACTCGGTCCTCGGCGTGTCGCGCCACTTCCCGACGAAGTCCTTCAGGCTGATCTCCTCATCGCCCACGTTCGGCCCAGCATCCAGGGCCGAAGGCGTGAGCACCTTCTTGTTCCTAAGGTGACGGCGGAGGCCACGGGGGATGGCGCGGAGGAGCTTGACCGGGTACCTCTCCGCCACACGCATGTTGCGGCCGACGAAGGTGGAATGCTCGCGGCGGCTGCCAATGCCAGTATCATTGGGGCAACGCTTGCAGACCTCATCCAACACCTCCTTGTTATTACTCATCCATCCTGTCGGCTTCTTGGCGAGCCTGTCGCCGTGCGCGTCCGCAACCACCAGGCCGAACACGCGCTGGTCGCCTCGCCCGACCTCGACACCCGGGAGAGCCATCACATCCTTCACGATGTCCAGGTCCCAGCTGTCCGCGCTCCAGGGGCGCGCGTGCAAGAACGTGCGGTCGTGCTTCACCTGCAGCGTGTAGAGCTCCATCGCGAACCTCAAGTGCTCGTACCCGACGGCGTAGGCCTCACGCTGCTTCTCCGCGTCCTCGCTCAGGTACTTCAGCATGGAGAACGGCGCGCAGCGAGGACTGCCCAAGAGGAAGTACATCTCGAAGTGCTCGATCAGCTCCCGGCACTGTCGCTGCTGCTGGCGGTCGGTCAGGCCCCAGCCAACCCTCAAGTCGAACGAGCCGCCGTGGACCAGACCGAAGAGGGGGGCAAAGCCCACAAGCCTATTCGGGCAGAAGACCTCCATCACGTCGGCCTTGCGCCCGCTGGGAGAGCAGGAAGGCGCCGATCTCGCCCTGCATGTTGTCGTCGCCGGGGTCGCGTGGTGCCGGAGCCATCGCCACGTCAGCCGCCGCCGCCGCGGCCTCGGGCGCTGGCGGCACCTGCTGAGCTGGGGCTGGGCCGCCACTGCCTGACGAGCCGCCCTCTTGATAGACAGGCCCGGCGACGTCAGTGCGATAGCCGCTTCCGCTCACGGGCATCCTCGAGCCTCTGCTTTGCCTCCTCGTCGTCCTGCATCGCCTGCTCGATCCGAGCGCGGCGCTCGGCTGAGTGAGCCTGCGCCCGGGCGCCGTTGAGGATCGCGGCGCAGTCGTAGCAGCCCGGGGAGAGCCCGTACTTCGCGATCTCAACGTCCTTCCTGATGTAGACGGCCCGCGGCCCTGCCGGCGGTCGCCCGACTCGGGGGGCCCGGGGCGGGAGGTCCCCAGCCTCAGGGATGGGCGCCAGAGGTCCGCCCACAGGCGCGACCGGCGCTGGCGCCGGCGCTCGGATCTCGATGGCCACAGGTACTTCGTCCACCTCTACGCCCGTCGGCGCCGGCGCCCACGGCTTCCCCACGAGGCTGTTCAGCAGGTCCTTGTCGGCCCGCTGCTCGACCGTCAACCGCTTGAAGGCCCTGGCCCGTAGCGCCCCCAACTCCGCGCCAATGTAGACCTCGTCCGTCCGAAGCGTGGGCCCCAGGTAGAGCCCAGCGAGGAACTTGTCCTCGATCCCGGCCTTGCGCTTGCCCCCTGGGAGATACAGGACCTTCTCCGAGAAGCAAGCCAGGTCCTTGTTGAAGGGGCGGCCGTGCCGAAGCTCCCAAGCCGCGCGGCCGTCGGCGCCCCGCCTGCCCAGCTTGATGGACATGGCTGCGAACTCGACCATCCACGGGGTCACTGGGTGCTCGGCGCCAATGCTCACGCCGTGGAGGTCGGCCACCTGCGCCCGCGCCGTCCCCACCTTGGCCTCGACCTCGCGCACCGCGTGCTCGGCCAGGCCGTTGCCCTGAGAGTCGCCGACCGCGCTCTCCTCGGGCACCGTCTCGATGCCATGCTCCTCCTTGAGCTTGGCCCCGATGCGGGTCTTCAGGGCGACGAGCGGCGCCTCGCCGTCTGAGCAGAAGACGAAGCGCCTGTGGCCAGCCGATGCCAGCCTCCTGGACCACGACTTTGCCGGCCAGGGACGCTGCGTCCCCTTAGCTGGAACCACCGACGCGTGGAATCAACGCTGCTTCGAATCTTTCCCGATCAGCAGCGGCGCGGCGTCCTCTCGTTCACCGAGGTAGCCGTTGTCGATGCCAACCACCGCGAGCGCCGACTCCTGGCGGTCCTTCGTCTGATGGCCTGCGGACAGGCCTCTGCCGGAGACGCACTCCCGGCACCATGCAGCACCTCATGCGCGGCTCGCTCGGCCGCCGTCGGCGCTGCGGGCTCCCTCGCCGGCCGTGCCGGCGGGCCCTCCGCGACCTCCTCGTGAGCCGCGCCTGGCTGGCCGGCTTCGCCCTCGGGAGGCTCGTGGCCTGCCGCCTCGACCGGGCAGACCTCCGGCACGTGCGGGTCGACGTGCATATCCATCTCGTAGACCTTGTTCCTGCGGCAGAACTTGACAACGTCTCCGCTGGTCTTGTGGTACGCGTAGCTAATGTCCTGCCCGCCCTCCGAGTCGAAGACGAGCCGATGGCCAGAGTCGACCATCTCCGCGACGCTCAGCAACGGCTTGCCGATGTCCGCCACCCTGAGCATGGCAGCGCGTGCCTGGGATGCCCCAGGCATCGCCCCCACGAAGATCTTCTCGCCCTCGTCGTTCGCGTAGTGGCCAGAGGCGGTCATGTACGAGATCGCCTGGCCGCCCTCGTGCACCGGGTAGTCCGTGCACGAGCCGCGCGGCAGCGCCGATGCCGCCGCACACGAGTCGATGCCCACGCGCAAGATGCCGTTGAGCTCGACCTCCTCCGCGTCCGAGTTGCCGTGGATCATGTTCAGGTCCAGGGCCGCGCCGATCGCAAAGTCGACCGCGTCCGCCTTGTCCGGCCCCGGGTCGTAGATGCTGAGGGAGTGGAGGTTCGCGAACGGATAGCTGACCTGCTCGTCCGCATCGTTCAGGTAGAGTGCTGCGACCTGTCGAGAGCTCGTGCCGGACATCGCCGTCGCCGGACTCAGCCTCGTAGTCGCAGCCGTCGACATAGAGCTGGCCGCCGATGGCACGGTCGTACTCGTCGACTGGGAGGCGTTGATGCGAGCCAGCGTCTGCTCCATGCTCGCCAACGCCCCCCTGTGCTTGCTCGGGCATTCGCGCTGGGTGTGGCCGCGGCCGCCGCAGCCCCAGCAGAGTGGCCCGAGCTGCTGACCATGTGACTTGCTGCCGGTCTTGCTCTTGCCGTCGGACTTGGACTTGCCCTTGCTGTCGCCCTTGCTCTTGCCCTTGCCACTGGACTTGCTCTTGCTCTTGCCGTCGCCCTTGAACCTGCCCTTGCCGTCACCCTTGGTGAACGCACTCAGGTCGACCATGGGCACGGGCACCGGGGCGATGGCGCTCTGGGCACGGCGGATGTCGGTGACCTCACGTCGGAAGTCCTGCCACTCCACCAGCCTGGTCGCATTGAGCAAGGTGCTGGCGTAGAGGGCCTTCCTCGAGCTGCCGAAGGACGACGCCGATCCTCATAGAGGCTGTGATGGCCTCGCCGCTCCTCTGCTCGTGCCTGAGGAGCTCTCGCTCGAACAGCGCCAGCCGGTCCTCGACATCGCCAGTGAACGAGAAGTTCAGGAGGTTCAGCAGCTGCCCCGCGATGCGGGACCTCGCATTCGGTTCGTAGTATTCAACCAGCTTGCGCCAAGCCTGGAAGCCCTCATTCTCGCCAGCATTCACGATCGTCGTCAGGGGATGCTGCCGGCAGAGGAGGAGCAAGATGTAATACAGCTGCTGCGAGGCCTGCCTCATATTCTCCTCGAGGAAGTCATCGTTCTGAACTGAGGCCTCGTCAGCGCTCTCTGCCAGTCGCATCCCTGCCAGCAAGTCGGCGATCACGACGCCACAGTACGCCTTGAAGATCACCTTCCAATCGTTCCACTTGTGCTCCTCGCCCGTGAACACGTCTGGCTTGCCCAGCGTACGAGTGTCCACGAGCGACTCGGCTCGAGGCTGTAGCACAGGCCCGTCCACCCGTGGTCTAGCCTCGGCCACACGGCCGAGCCGTTGCACCTCGGCCGTGAGATCGTTCTCCCTCTGCTGGCGGTTCTGCAGCTCCTGGGCCAGTGCTATCATCTGCTGCTCTAGAGCCTGCACGCGCTCCTCCGCCATCTCAGCGGCGGTTCGCGCGCAGCTTCGTGAAATCCTTCAGGTGCTGGCCCTGCGCTGCCCAGGTCCTCCTCAGCCTGAACAGCTTGCGTAGCTGCCTCGCCACTCTCCTCCAGCCTTGGTGGACCTCGACGAGCTCCCACTCGCCGCCGCCGCCGGAGCTCGGCCCGGCGGGCCTTGCTGCGGCTCCCGCACCGGCGGCCGGCCCCAGGTTGCTGGGGCTCTCCGCGCCGCTGGCGGGAGAGGGAGCCGCGGAGCCCGACCCCGTAGACTGGGAGGGTCGGGACCACGGCTCCGCTACCATGGCGAGATCATTTCTTCGGATGCTTGCCTTGAGCCATACCAGCAATGGCATGATCTCTCACAGTAAATCTCCTGGGGGTCTCTGGATTCCTGCATATACATACATACACCACCACATAAAGTAGTATGGATGTAACCTACACAAACATGTACACATTAATATACATACACACATACATATACATGCATATACATATGCATATGCATTTACAGTTACCTGTACCGTAATATTTACGAACACGTTTACAAATCCAGCTTATATAATATATAGCAGTTTTACATTATGCACTATACATATACACACACAGACAGCTACACACAAATATACACATACATGTACATACACATATGCCTGTGCAGACGCCCCGGCCACGCTGGGAATAAGCACGATGCCCACTATAGATCATCCTTGCATGTAGGTGTTGGGTTTCGATGGACTGGCCATGGTCGTTTTGATGGAGCCCGTTTTTTGTTGTTCGCGATAACGCCCGTGACCGGCCCCGCCCCCGCCATCCCTCCTCCCCCCGTGGTCGCGTCACGATGCGCGTCGGCGCCGTGTTCGAATTAGCCATCGCAGCACATTTCCAGACGGCGCCAGCGCGAATCGTGACGTGACCGCCCCCCCCCCCTCCTCCCCATCGATCACGCCCGTTCTCGCCACAGGACAATGAAAAACGGTCTCATGGCATCAGCACAAAGAGAGTGGGAGATGCGAGGCGGTGGGCGAGGCTGGTCAGCCGGAGTGGCAGCGCCACCTCTTCTGTGGTGCTTTGACTAGTGCACACGCCCGGGCCACGCTCGGACTAAACCCGATCCCCACTACAAATCCACTGCGATTGTGGGGCATAGGTGTCAGGATTGCCCATGGCATCCGCGATGGCAGCAGCGGGGGAAGATGGAAGGCGGCGGGCGCAGCTGGTCAGCCAGAATGGCAGCACCACTTCTTCTGTGTGGCCTTGACCAATGCGTACGCTCGGGCCACGCTCGGACTAAGTATGGTTCCCACAAAACTGCTTGCTGACCGATGAGTGTATGTTTCTATGTATATACACATTATACGAGAACCACGCGCGCTTCGCGCGCGCTTAGATTCTAGTCCAGCCCATGGCGTTGTGATGAAACGGAGGTCGGGGTTCCTGGGCGACTCGCAGTCGGAGAAGGGTTGAGTCCGTCTTGGGCCGGTTATGGGATGTTGCAGGGCTTCCTTGGACTGGCTTTTGGGCTGTTCAGGCGCGGTCTTGTGGGGGGGGGCAGGTGTCTGTGGCCCCGATGGCGCCGTCCAGGGTTGCCTCTTCGTTGTCACGACGCGCAGGTCTTGGCTTGTGGGTTCGTCGGGGAGATCGCTGAACAGGCGTGGGGCATTGACTGGCTTTCTTATGAATAGGCGGCGAGCCAGGGGGGGAAGTGAGAAGGGGCGGGCCTTCTCAGAAGGCTCGGATGTCCCCCAGACTTCTGAGAAGTTCTCTAAGCCTTCCCCGAAGACACAAACAACTTCTCAGAAGCCGCAAGGACTTCTGAGAAGTCCCACCGCCTTCTGAGAAGCCCTTCTCCTTCTCACTTCCCCCCCTCGCTTGCCGCCGAATGAAATGTCGAGGCCGTAGTCACATGTTCTTTGGATGATGGATGTCGTCACATGTTCTTGGCTTGTCTTGCCGAACATGTGCGGGAGGGACGAGGCATGACGGAGGACGGGACGACAACTACCCTGAAGTAGAACGCACGCGCTGCCACGCCAGCTGGCGGAGCATGCGCAGAAGAAACGAGGAATGCCAGAGGACGTAGAGCAAACTGCATTTAAAAATGATGCACGCGCTGACTTGCAGGAAGATCGAAGAAAGACGGACGAAGAAGGGAACGCAGCCGTGATATTAAATGCACGCGCTGACACGCCAGCTGGCGGAGCACGTGCAGGAGGAACGAGGAAGGACAGAGACAGGAGGCAGACAAATATATGGAAGAAAGAGAAACTCTCTTGAGCCGTCTCGGGGTCCTGGGACGTGCCCGATCCGTTTTCGTGTTGTCTCCTCACGCTGTGATAGCATACCAAGCGTGTTGGGGCATCTTGGGGCCTGGGTCTCTTTCGAGGTCTCTCGGAGCTCGGTTGGGGGCCTCTTTGGGGTCTCCCGGAAGCTTCCCGGCATCCTCCTGGGGTCTCTTGGGGGGCTTCTTTGTGCTTTCTTTTGGGCCTCCCATGGGCCTCCCTAGGCCTGCCCTGCTGGGCAACTATAGGCGGCCTCGGGGGTCGTTTCTGGGCAGAGGGCTCCAAATAGCAGCTCGTACTACCCATCCTGGGGCCCTCGTGGGCCGTCTTCGAAGCTTCTTGGTCCATCTTGGGGCCCTCTTGAGCCGTCTAGGGGCACTCTTGAGAGCCTCTTGGGCGGTCTGTGGGCGTTTTTGGAGACCTCTGGGGTTGTCTTTGACTGTGTTAAAACCAAAAAAGCGAATATACTTTATAATGCGAGTTTTCCTGAGGGGACGGAGCCCTCTTGGGGGTCCTCTTGGATTGGTCTTGGATCGTCGTGGACGCCTCCCCTCTAGAACCGCCTTGACGGCGGTTTGGGGAGCCTCTTGACCCGTCTGGGAGCGTTGGAAACCCGAAATCCATCAAAAAACTCGGGGAAAATATCTAAATTGGTTTCTCGGGGCATTCGTCGGGGTGCTGTTTGAACCTTCTTGGGCCGTCTGGAACCTCTGGAAGCCGTCTTCAGGGCAGCTCGGGGCAATCTTGGTCCGTCGGGACAGCTGTCTGATCGGTCTGGGACCTGTTTTGCGGCCCCCCAACAGCGGGCCCCAGCCCCGAAGCGCCCCGAAAAGACTTGGGACCCCACCTGGGCAAAAACATGATACGGGGGAGGGGGGAAGTTTTGAAAAGTGTGCCGGCCTGGGGTCTGGGGTCTCAGGGGGCCTCTTGGGGCGTCCTAGGCTGTCTGGGAACGCTCATAAGGGGGCCTCGAAGCGCGTCCTGGAGGCGTCCTGGGCGGTCTGGAGTCTGGAGGCTGTCATGTCCAGTCGCTGGACGCCCTGGGGCCGTGTCGGAGCTCCGAAGACCGCCCGGGGGGCCCACAGGGAGGGCGGAGGCAGCTCTGCACAAGCGGGTCAATACCCTCCGGCGCCCAGGGGCCTGGAGTTCCCTTGAAAATATACGCGTGCAGTTGCTTCTGGAGGTCTCTTGGGAACCCCAGGGAGGCTCTCTTCGGGCGTTTCTGGGACCTGTTGGGCCATGATGGGGGTACCTTGAGCTCGAAGACGGTCCAAGATCGCGTCAGGACGGCCGTTCATCGCCTCTCCTCTCTGGAAGCGTCGGGATCGCCATGAGTGCCTCAGGGCGTCTGGGCAGGGGGCTCGTCGGTGTGATATGGAAAGATCGCGGATTTATCGTTTTGGAAACGCTCGCAGAGCGGATCGTAGCTCAATCGGCCAAGGGCCCTAAAATTATTAGAGCCAAAACGGGCGGCGGCAGAGAGACCCTGGACAGCTGAGCAGCAACAGCAGAGAGCGAGTGAGAAGAGCAGCGAGTCTTCTGGAATCACACTCCTCCTGCACGGTGCTCAGCAGCAGCGGGCGGGCGCACACGATGCGCCATGAGCAGCCGGGCATATAAGCCTGGCGCTAACTTCATTTGGCGGAGGCCAGGCGCGCTGGCAGAAGGCGAGCAAACGGCTCGACACGGCTTGCAATCGCAGGCAGCCCACGGGGCACTTAAGCGGATGCGCTACACGCGACCTGCAGGGTATTCACAGCTCTCAGCGCCGCCGGCGCTATAATCAAAGACAAGGCATGGCTAGAGTCCGATCGCGAGGCGACAGAACTCAAAAGAGCCATCTGAATGGGTGCGATCGTCATCACATCAAAAACTGTGCACACTGAACTGAAGCTTCTGAAATGCGGAGTTACGTGTAAATCTTTTCACCAGGTGTGAAATCTGGAACAGCAATGCGGACTTACGTAAGCAAGGTCGCGATGAAAAAACGCGACAGTCTGGGCAGCACCATGGATCAGTCGCCCTTCTTGGGCTTCATCGGCCTGTCCGTCAGATCTGATCCTCGCCCGCACTCTCGGCCTGTGATCTTGCGCCATCGACCCATGAGGTCGCGCATCACGCCCGGCGGGAAGATCGTGAAATCCGGGTTGCTGTTGCGATAGCAACGGGGCAGCCAAGACGCGTGCTTCTTGCAGCTCTTGCAGGTGATGTATACGCTGTGCGAGTTGTGGCAAACCACAAAGTCGTGCAAGTGCTGATGCAATCAAGCAGGTCGCTGGGCTCTACCGTAGGCGACGACCCGTGCCACTGGACTCCACTGGCGCTGATCGCACTCGATGAGCTCGTCACGGAAACGATGCTTGGCGATGTAGGTGCCGAGCTGCGTGAGCTGCTTGAGGCCCTTGCTGACCTCGATCGTCCCAATCCCGGGGTCGATGTTGCCGTGCACGGTGATGGCGATGCACTGGAAGGTGGCGGTGTTGGCGGCATCGGCGGCTGCTGCAGTGCTGGAAATGCTGGAATTGGCGGCTGCGATGGATGGTGTCTGAAAGACACGCCAGACGCCGATGTTGCTGAACTCACACTGCTTGCGCCTCCAAGGGGCTGCATGATAACATCGCCGTCATAGTCACGGTCCTCAGGGGTCGTCGGCATGCTGCGGCGCCGGCCCAGTAGGCGGCCGTCCCAGCCAGGGTGCTCGCCCGTGGCCTTGGCCTCG